GTCCAGAAATCATCACAAGCCCCTTGGGCATTAGTAAAACAGTAGTTCTCAGCCCAAAACATGATGCAGAAATATCATTTAAGTTTCAAATCTGAGTAAAAGTGGCCGAGTTTGTAAAACAGTAGATATCAACAGGATTGAGTTCAAATAATAAGTCAAGCAGTGAGGAAACAGTGATAAAAATCCCCGAAGGGTCCAAATAGTTGGAACGAAGCCCAAATATGGCAATCAGCCCAAATCATGATGATAACAAATAAATTTCAATCAAATACGCGGTAAAATCATCAATCGGGATGGACCAAGTCACAATCCCCAGTAGTAAAAGACTCCACGCTCATCATTCAGCGCGTGTCTCACCTCAATATAGCACTACGATGTGCAATCCGGGGTTTCAAACCCTCAGGACATCATTTACGATCATTACTCACCTCGAATCGGCTACAACTCTAGCTCCCGATGCCTTTGCCCCTCGAATCGGCCTCCGCGCGCATCGAATCTATCCAAAATCAAAACAAATACGTCACAATATTCTAAGGGAACAAAACCCAAGCGAAAACAATCGAAAAATATCAAAAATCCCGAAATTAGCAAAACCCGAGCCTCGAGCCCACTTCTCGAAACTCAGAAATTTTCACATCATTAGATTCCTTATCACTCCATGAGCTCACACATATCAAAAGTTCTCAAATCCGACCTCAAATGGTCCTTCAAATCCCAATTTAAAAGTTCAAAATCCCAAGCCCTAGTTCTTCCATTTTTAGCTTAGGTTCCATGAATTTCTAGGTTAATTTCACACTAGAATCACGTTTTAGGTTCAAATATCTTACCTCCAATTGATTCTCCTTGAATCCCTCTTTAATCACCTTCAAAAAGCTCTCAAAATGCTCAACTATGGAGGAAAAATGACTCAAAATCGCGAATAAAATGTTTAATAAACTTTCTGCCCTGGTCTGACCTCCCTTCTTCGCGAATGCGGTCAACTCCTCGCGATCGCGAAGCATAAAATTTCATTGACAAACTTTTGCTCTACGCGAACGCATCAACCCAGTCGCAAACGTGATGCTTCTGCCTCCCATACCTTAGCGAACGTGGACGACCTTACGCGAACGCGATAAAGAAATTACTTGGACCCCAATTTACTCTACGCGATCGCGAGTTTCCTCTCGACCACCCGAAACTCACTCGAGGCCCCCGGGACCTCAACCAAAAGCACCAACACATCCTAAAACCTTATTCAAACTTGTTCCAATCATCAAAACACCTCAAACAACACCAAAACTATCAATTCACATCGAATTCAAGCCTAAGTTTTCTAAAAACTTCCGAAATACGCTTTCGATCAAAACCTCAACCAAACCACGTCCGAATGACCTGAAATTTTGCACACACATCACAAATGATATAACAAAGCTACAAAAACTCTCGGAATTCCATTCCGACCCTCGGATCAAAATCTCGCCTATCAACCGGAAATCGCCAAAATATTAACTTCGCCAATTCAAGTCTAATTCTACACTGGACCTCCAAAACCAATTCCGATCACACTCCTAAGTCATAAATCACCTCCCGAAGCTAACCGAACCATCGGAACTCACATCCGATCCTTCTAACACATAAGTCAACATCCGGTTGACTTTTCCAACTTAAACCTTCTTAAAAGAGACTAAGTGTCTCATTTCTTACCAAAACCACACCAAACGCAAACCAATTCACTCGACCACATAAAACACGGATAACGAAGCATAAAGAAGCAGAAATGGGGAAAACGGAGCGGTAACTCATGAGACGACTGGCCGGGTCGTCACAGTTATCTATGTAATTTGTATCTTCCTACTACACATGAGCCTCCTTTCTATAATATAGAGGCTCAAAGAAACAATCAGCCCTTGGCCATTCTTTTAAGTAGATAATATTATTTGAGCACAGGTGCAGTAGTCTTTTTCAATATAAAATCTTGTCAAAAGGAAACTTGCCGCAAGGCTTTCGACTTAATAATATGCAGCAGGAGCTGAACCGACAGTCATTTAAGATCATCAAATTACATGAAATTTGATCTCCTCTCTTTCTTGAAAATGCTAGATAAACAAATTTATAGAACAAATATATTGGCAGCAGAACATTCAAAATTGATTCCATTTGGTTCCAGCAGGAGCTGAACATTCAACATTTAAGAACATTCAACAAATATATTGGCAGCAGGTGCCAGGAGCTGAACATTCAACAGCCTCACACCCATTTAATTCCACAACATCTGAACATTCAACATTGATCATTGATGGCACTAAAAATATTAAAATAACGTGCTGACCTGTTGTAGCAGCATTAACAGAACAAGTGCAATAACAGTAGCAACTAGCAACAAATTTTAACAGTAGCAGAAATGCAGAATTAGTCTAACAGTACCAGGCTACCAGCAGTGCAAACAATAGCAGAAATGCAGAATTAGTCTAACAGTACCAGCAGTGCAACAAAAACAACAGAATTAAGTCAATTAACAATAGCAACAGACTCTAATTCTTAAATACAGATTCCAGGAAGACGCTGAAGACAACGCCTAATATGCTTCCTTAAACCAGATGTTCCATTCCTCTTAGGATGAACATTATAGACTTGACTACAATGCTTGCACTCTACTTTGTGAACTTCTCCGTTATCTTCTTTTAGGGAGCAAATTTCTTGTCAAAGAACTTTCCTTCTGTTAATCTTTGTTTGCTGCCTCTATTTCTGTTAAACACATATAAAGGCATTCTTCATTTTACATATTCTTCTATTCAAATAAAGCAAGTTTCTTGGAAGGTAGACAAGTGTTTGCAAAACAGATAGCCAAAGCAGATATAACAAAGTAACTGATAACCAATGAAGATTGGGTAAGCTTCATGACAAATTTGATGTTTAATTCTCAAATCTGTTGTTAGATCTGGCTAATTTCTAGATATGCCTACACATTAATTCCGGGATCATTTGAAAAAAAGAAGAACTTGCACAAGTTTTTTATTTTTTACTAGTTGTTAATTTTGGCCCTAACACTTCCCTACCTTATCTCTTTCATCATCAAATCCCAAAAAAAAAAATTGAAATAAAAATCTTCTGCATATAAAACATCCGATAAACATAGCAACAAACTTCCTTTTTTGATAGGTACGAACATAATGATAAATAAATTAAACAAATAAACATAGCAAAGGACTTATAAAAAAGAATTCAAGAACGTAATAAAAACCACACAAACTAGCAAACAATGTCATCAAAATGAGTCACTCGTATTCACAACATAAGCAAAGCAGAGAAGTATCAATTCCAGAACAAATTAGTGCAAAAAAAATAAAGATTGGAGAATAAAAAATTGAAAAGTTATGAACCTGTTGAAGTCTTGATTTGAAGAGTTGACAGCCGATATCAGTTCTCACAGGCCAAAGCCGATCTGGCGATCTCACAGGCGACAGCGGACAACCGATCTATGAGTTTTTCAGTAAGGAGTCGTTCGTTCTTACTTCTTAGGTTTCTCAGTCGTTCGTAAGTTTCTCAGGATGTTAGGGTAAACTAGGGTATGGGGGTAAGACAAGAGGGTAAGAAAGTGAAAGACTTTTGGGTTATTGGGTTATTCATTATTGGGTTGGGCTCCAAAAATTAAAATTTTGGCTTTTGGGTTGAGCTCCACCGTTGGGCACTGGGCAGTCTACTCCTAGTCTCCTACATGATTTTTAAAATTTTCGATATTTCGGTATACCGAATTGTCAAGATCCTAATACCGAGTACCGAACCGTTATACCGAAATACCAAAAATTTAGTACCGAATTGAACCGAAATACCAAAAAAATAGAAACCGAAATACCGAATTAATTCGGTTCGGTTCGAAATTCGGTTTTTCGAATTTTATGTCCACCGCTAGAGTTTATATCTTTGCATCCGGAGTGCAGTACAAGGTGATAGAAGAACTATTATCCCAATATAATGTAGGTGCTTCCTATCACGGAAAATCATAAAGTAGAATGCAAAAAGAAGGTAATTAGGAAGCTATTGTCAGGGACTACATCTATTCAAAATTCAGAGGAAATAGTCATACTCAACTCAACAACTGAAAAGAGAAACTCAGTAGTGGCTAATTGGCTAAAGTTCTTTCTGAAGTAATGCGGATACCAAGCATACAAAATTTATAAATACAAAAATACCTCTCTTTTTCCCCTTTAGTTCTTTTTGGTTTTCATTTCTTCTTACTCTGTTTTCTCCTCCTCTTTTCCAGCCACCTCTTTCACTATCAGCCATGCTCGGATGCTCCCACTAACCTTGTTCCCTCCACCCATTTTCTTTTAATTTTCTTCAATTTCTTTTAGTTTTTTTCACTTGATTCCTCAAGCATAGTCTATTTTTTAAATTTATTTTATCCAAAAAAAAGCTCATGAAGATCACATTTGAAACTCTTCACACTCTTTAACATGAGGTAAAATATTTTTTCATAAGTGCTAAAACTACTAAAAAAAATTAATAGTGGTACTGATATTTAGTAGTATTAGTTTTGTATTCACATAACAGAAACATCCAAAATAGAACAGATGACTTGGTGACATCTACTATTGATCTTACCAAATTTACCGGAGTGAAATAAATAAGAACAAATGACTGTTTAAACATTCATATATCTTCTGATATGGCATGTGAAGAGCTCAAGCCATGCTGTATCTAGAACAATATCATCATAATCATGAGGCTGCAATAAAATTGAAAGCTTACTGGGCAATCCTTCCAATGGAAAATCCACATCAAACGGAAACATTAGAAACCATAGGCATGTGCAAAATGTGATAAAACTCATATGTGCACTTGCAGGATTTTTTTTCCTTTTATTCAAGGAGTCAATATATCCATGCTCGTGAATTCCTTTATCTTATCAAAAGTTGCAGACAAATAAAAATAAACTTCTAGGTATTTTTGTCTTTTATTTAAATTTTTCCTAATTTTACTATCTTGCACCTCAGGCAATATGAACGAATTTTCCTACTCAAGTGCTCCATTTTGGATGTAGAGGAAACTAATTCTAAGTTTTCAAAATAATAGTCAGAAAAATCAGAAGGATTTTAAGATAGTTGTACTGGATAAAGAATAGCTAAAGATTTGACTACATTAGAGGTTATTACAAACATTGTATCTAAGAATTCACATGATAATCAAGCTTCATAAGCTCAAGTTTGGCTAAGCAAGAATTTTGAACTAAAAATACTAAACAGGACTTACCTGTTATATATTCTTGTTCGTAGTTCTAGTTTCAGCAGCACACCTATAGTTTCAGGTTTTATAGCTGCTTCTTCCATTTTATGTTCAACTGTGCTTCGAAACTTCATTTCCTTTTGTTTCTTTCACCAGCACTTGTTAGAAACATATATTCCTTTTTCAACATAAGATAAACCCAATAGTCTGACATGCATATTGTCATAATTTCTCCAGACTGATTTTTTAAAATTGACTTTGAAACAATTGGCCTGATAGTTGTTCTTGGATATGCTTAACGCATATGATCTTCATCTGAAGATGAAACAATTCAAGTTCTTTAGCTATAAAGAGTAGGAGAAGAAAGCTATAAAAAGCATATATAAAAAATAAGAATACTTTGATTCCCCAAAGTATTAATTATATCCCCCAATTGGAAGATACCAAAAAATCTCAAAGTAGCTAAAGAAATGCAAAGCCCTGCTCCGTAGAACTTGTTTGACTGCTAAATTAAGTCAGAAATATAAAAAAGAATTGATCAACCAATTAAAGATGAATATTTTAGCTATCAAACTAACATCATCTACAAATGAAGTAGCCATGAATAATTCTAAATTTATAGGTACTGAAATTTTAGTAGATAAAATGTATAATTGGTTGAATATATACCTTGACGAAAATTGTTGGGTAGATTTCTTAAGCTGTCATTGAAAGCCACTTTTCTCCAAGATCACCAGAAATTGTAGCGATTGTTAACCCACTTTCATCGGTAAGATCAATTTGGAATAATTACTCACGGGACAAAGTCAAAATAATCACTCACATGAACAATATCCCACTGAAACTACTTTCTAAAGAACATCATTTTAGCATCGACTCTGATCCTTCGAGAAATTGAAAAAAAAACATACAGTTAACTCGCCGAATCAAATTACAAAAGGAATTATATAGAGTTAAAGAAAGTAAGTTGATGGTTTCCAATAATTGAATGTCTGGTTCTTCAACAGTAAACAACTGAATTACAAAAACAAACTCAATCCATACATTAGAAATAATAACAGATATTAATAGCATAAAAATCTCAATTAATGTTACTCACTCGCCCATCATTCGTTTCTCCCAAATTCTAGCAGGTCTAACTAATATGTGAATAAAGATGGGAAGAAATCGCCAGCAAAATAAATCTCCTAAAGATTACTGATTTGTGAGGATTGAATCACCTGCATAAAATATAAGTTAGAGACGCAAAATGTAATCAGGGAAAACAATCTTCAATCTCTGTTGCACTAAGGATCAAATACCAGACATGTATGAGAATATCATACCAAATTACTAACATGCATGTAGAAAATCTAACAATAAACTGCCAAAAAGAACCTAAAAAGTGAGTGAGACAGAATGTGTGTGAGAGAGAGAATATAGGAAACTAACATATATCCAGCAGATAGCGATTAGCAACGAAAAAGGTGCAACAAACAATAAAACAGATGCAAAGAAAAACTCACCAAAACAAAGTTCACACTTTGAATTAGTGAACATCGGAGAGTGAATTAGAAAATATTTGAGAAACTCTCGAAAAGGAGAAACATATTAGTTAGATAGAGAAGTAGAAGAAAAGGGAATTGTATTCGACAATGACCATAGTAGAGTATCAAAAAAAGCAAGATGTGTGTTTATAGCATATCAATAATAGTCTTTAAAACTTAGAATATAATTATTATCAATTTAACCTTAGAAGAGTTCGCAATGTTGAGAGTACAACGCTTAAAACCTTTCGTACAACCACCTAGAACAGTGTTCGTCCTTTCAAACTGTAACGACCCGACTGGTCGTTTTGAGCTTTAGCATGTTTTTCGGCGGTTTGAGGCCATGAACAGCTTCACTTAAGGTATGATGACTTGTACGCATCATCAGAATTGAATTCCGGGAAATTCGGAGTTGATTTGGAAAGAGAATTCTCATTTCGGAAGCTTTAAGTTGAAAGAATTGACTAAGGTTGGATATTTAAGTAAACAACCTCGGAATCGGGATTTGAAGGTTTCAGCAGGTTCGTATGATGATTTCAGACTTGGGCGTATGTCCGGACCGGATTTTGGAAGACCCCGGAACGTTTCGGCACCTATTGTGGGAGTTAGCATTTTTGAAAGAATTTCATAAGTTTGGGTTGAAGTGCATTCCAGTGTTATCGATGTTTGTTTGGGATTCCGAGTCTTGGAATACCTCCGTATGGTGATTGTGGGGTTGGGAGCGCGATCGGAAGTGAATTCGGAGGTCCGTAGGTCATTTTGAAGTCATTTGGCTAAAGATAGAAATTTGAAAGTTTTTGGGAAGTTTGACCGAGAGTTGACTTTTTGATATAGGAGCCAGAATCCTATTCTGAAAGTTGGAGTAGGTCCGTAATGTCGAATATGATTTGTGTGCAAAATTCGAAGTCAATTGGGCGTGAATTGATAGGTTTAAACATCGAAAGTAGAAGTATGAAATTTTGAAGTTCATAAAGCTTGGATTGGAGGTTGATTCTTGAATGTAGCGTTGTTTGATGTGATATGAGGCCTCGAGCAAGTCCGTATTATGTTTTGGGACTGGTTGGTATGATTGGTTGGGGTCCCGGGGGCATCGGGTGGATTCCAGATGGTTAACGGATCGAATTTGGAGTTTGAAGAAGAGGCGAAGTTGCTGGTTGCTGGTGTAACCGCACCTGTGAGACTAGGGCCGTAGGTGCGGAGTCGTAGAAGCGGCCCTATGGTCGCAGGTGCGGTATTGGCGAAAGAGAGTTGGGACCGCAGATGCAGTCGTTTGACCGTAGATGCGGAACCGCGTCTGCGGTGGAGAGGGCACAAAAGCGGAATCGGACCGCATAAGCGGTAATTGGTCTCTCACCTGCGGAACCGCAGAAGCGGTCAAGAGACCGCAGGTGTGGAAAGTGCTGGAGGCAGTGGGTGTTTTAAAAATCAGGGTCTTGGCCATTTTCTCTCATATTTTCTTGGCTTGGGCGATTCTTGGAGGGTTTCAAGAGGGGATTTTCATCATCAACGATAAGGTAAGATATCCCCCACCTATCTTGAGTTAAATACATTGATTATGTACGGATTTGAGCATGAAAATTGGTAGAAACTTGGGATTTGAGGGAAAAGCTAGAAAATTGATATTCTTGGAATTTGACCAGGGTATGAAATTGAGAGTAAATTATATATTTGAGTTTGTGAGGTTATGGGTAAAGTTTATCTTTAAAAAAAAGAATTTTGGAATTCGGGCACGTGGGCCCGAGGGCGTATTTGTCAACTTTTCGATCGAGGTTAGGAATTGTTATAAATTGGATCGTTATGAGTAATTGAGCATATATTAATGGATTTGCATAATTATTGGCTAGCTTTGGAGCATTGTGCATCGATTTGAGTTTTTGGAAGGGTGTGGAATGCCGGTTATGGATCTTCCGAGCGAGGTGAGTCTCCTTTCTAACCTTATAATAGGGAATTGTCCCCATTGGTGAAATAATTAGTTATATGCTCCTATTTGTGGGGGCTACGTACGCACGAGGTGACGAGAGTCCGTGCGTAGCTACTAATATGTGTAAGTCCGGGTAGTCTAGGACCCAAAAGCATGCTATACTTGGAATATATGTAACCTTGCTGGCAGTTGAATTGCTTAAATCCTATCGAATTGGTAAATGAATTTCTAAAAGGATTAAACTTCATTTTCTTAAATCATTAAAAGAGAATTGGCTTTTATTTGGATAAATGTTCCCCGATAAATTCTTAATGACTGTTTGAACATATATTTCTATGTTACCTGCGTCGCATGTATGCTTCGCGAGTAGGGTGTTTGTTTATTTTATGTTGACTGCGTCGCATGGAGGATTCGCGAGTGGGGTAATAGATGCATCTATGGTTCGCGCCGTTCGACCCTTGGCAGTGCACATTTTACATTTCTGTTGGATCGGGCTGTACGACCTCGGCATGATTTGTGCATGCCTGTATTGCTTGCCTTGAAACTTATTGAAGTTGTTATTGCCTCTTCCCGGCTTAAGAATATTTGTATAAATGATGAAAAGGAATTTGGAAATTTCCTATAAAAGAAAGAATTGTTTACTTGCTTCAACCCATCGAATTACAATCATGTTTATTAAAATCCACGATTTAATATATTATTGATATAACATTATTGGACCACTAGTAAGTGTCGAAGTCGACCTCTCATCTCTACCTTCGAGAATAGACGGGATACTCACTGGGTACACTTTGTTTTCGTACTCATACTACACTTCTGTGCATTTTTGTTGTACAGGCACATGCATTTCTAGTGGCCTAGTGAGCATAGCAGCATGGTTGATACGGAGACTTAGGTGAGCTGCATTTCCCGAGACAATACATAGTAAATATCTCTATATGTTGATCCCAAATCTATATCTTTTTTTATATGTAGCCGACTCACTCCTATGGTAGACAATTACTGATGAGTAAATTATGACATTGTTTAAAGAAAAAAGATTAAACTTATGTGTATACTTACAATGAAAAAACATATTATAATGTGATAACATTTCATTTCAAAAAGTTTCTTCGTGTGAATATAGACCTTAAATCAAATTCCATTCAAAATTATCAGTAGAATTTTATTTAAATTTTTGTTGAATTTAAAGTTCTAAATATTAGGCAAATTCTTCAATATAAATATGTAAAAATAATTGAATGAAGATTTATTTTCGAAAAAATAATTTAATTTTTAATAGGTATAAAAGTTAATATTTCGATCAACTTTAGTTATGTGAAAATTAACTGTATATAACTCATTCTACAAACTTTTAGGTTGTTAGATGTGTTAAATATTTATGTTTTTTGTTATACTTGTTTTTTGATAAGTTTTTAGATAGAATTATTTTCTAGAACATCAACTATTATTTTTAATCTTTGAGAATATTTATTTCAAAAAAAAAAAAATGCTCGCTGTTTAGGGTTCATGATATATTTGGATTTATTAGTATCTAAAAGGAAGAAATTGCTCTTAATAATGAAGTTAATTATGTCTATCTAACATGTGTGAATTTTATTTTTTCAGAATTAAGATTAATTATGCTATGTCGTGATGTTTTAGAAGGCTTCTTAGGGTTTATGGAGAGAAAAGTTTCACGCTATAGGATAGTAGGGATTGGAAGTTTGCATATGAATCCTAGCGAGAACACACTTAAAATAGGTTATGCTGTCCTAAAACAAATAGTTTTCCTAATAAATATACAAATTTAATCCTAAATATTAGAAAAATAAATAAATATATATTCCTAAGTATTAAGAAAATAATTAAAATGACTATATTGTGCAGTGTAAACTCTATTTTAGAAAGGTAAAAAAGAAGAACAACATTTCGCTAAGGGCCTTCGTGCTTTTAATATAGTATAGATATAGATATAAATATAGATATAGATATAAATAGATTATGGCACAAAATCTCATGTCGGTATTAGCTTCCTTTCCTCCTTCGAAAAAGTTCAACAAAGAAAGAATGAAAGGCATTTTTCCATAATAGGGGTATTATCACTTTAACCCACGTCATAAACTATTTATATTTGGTAGCTGAAAAAATATATAAAATTTGTATAATTTTTGTATATAATATACAAAATGGATATATATACAAAAATATGCAAATTTTGTATATTTTTCGGCTATTATTTTTACAGCGGCTATACAATGTCATTTTTCCATAATACAACCTACAACAACTAGAATTTGCACTTTTTGCAAGCTTTGACTTTTATTTATAAGTTATGCATTATATTAAAAGATTATCTCTTTTAAATAAAATTTTAGAACAATTGCTAGACTACACATGCGAGGCACGCAATAGAAATTAATAAATAAATAATAACTTTATACATACTCACATTAATTTAGAAACTAATATGTATTTTTGCATCGATTCATTTTTGATTTTTTTTTTCCAAAACTAAGCTACGCTAGACATAATTAACGTTGATCTCTTGAATCGATTTGATTTCGTTTCTCTTCAATCCATTTTTGAAACCTCTTTACAAAGTTGCTCTAAAGTTAAAACATGGTAAAAAAAATAATTAATCCTCCTTTTTGCCTCACCGCTTAAGCAAATTATTTTTATATTATATTATACTTTTTCATCGATAATTTATTTTTCTTGTTTCACAAGAAAAAATGAAGTTTGACATGTGAAAAATAAATATTCAGTTCCTAGGTTTAAATTTTTTTAATTTACATATAAAATACTAGTCTAAGTTACTATTAAGTTTTTAATTATAAAAATTAATTGTACTTAATTAAAAATGAGGTTTTGCTACTATCTATATCTATATATATATATTAAAGCAAGAAAGTTTGCATTGTGGTTAAGCCAAGTGACAAACTACTATAAAACCACTTAGCAATCTTAAATTTAAGATTGTGGGAGATTGTCAAATAAGAAAATATCACTTAAGAACTATATATAAAATTTCATTTATTGAAATTAAATTGAAATAAGAATTCTTTTAAAAAAATAAAGTTCAATCATTCTACTAATATTAGATAACTGTAATTTTTTATTTGGAAAGTAAAGAATTTTGATATCAATAGTATTTTGATTCCTTTTCTAATATCGAGTGAGAAGAAT